AGGCCCTGTTCCTTATTTAGGGTTCCTTAGGTCAACGCCCCGACTGTATTCCCACCCGAGTTCATCCTCGTCCTAGCTTCAATCTCAAGTGGGAGGGGGGAGGGCTTCTTGGAGGGGGGCTGCTTCTGAGAGGGCGCGGGCTTCACATCTATGGATGAGGCCCGCGCCGTCTAAGAAGTAGGGGGGGGGTGTTTCTGAGAAGCTTTCCCCCCTCCCCCTGCCCCCATTCTGCGCGTCGCCGATCTCGGGAGGCTGAGCTTCAGAATCGGCGCCGGTGCACCCCCAGCCGAGCCCTGCCCTTCCCCAGCCGTGCTCGCGGCGTGGCAACAAAAATCTGGAGAGGAGGCTCTGCCGGCCAGGCTTGGCCTCTGGGGGCCCTCCACGGGCCTCGGGGCCGCCGAGCACGCCCCTCCTCCTCCTCCTCCTCCTCCTCCTCCTCCTCCTCCTCCTCCTCCTCCTCCTCCTCCTCCTCCTACCCCTCCTACTGCTCCTCCTCCTCCTCCTCCTCCTCTTCCTCCTCCTTCTCCTCCTCCTCCTCCTCGAGGAATAAATGACCTTCCAGGGGAAGTGGTCGGGACTTCCGGGGACCGCGCATTGAAACACCAGGACGTCGCACGTCTGGGGGTGCAACCCTTGGGAGGCTAAACTTCAGAATTGGCGCTGGTGGATCCCTTGCCGAGCCCTGGCCTTCCAGGAGGGCGAAGAGAAATATCACCAGGCCCCTGACGCCTGAGTTCCTGCCGAGGTTGTGTAGACAGCCCAGATGCATCTACATGGTTGGAGGGATGTTTTCTAGCACTGGAATGTCAGGTGTCCCTGGTCGAAGAGTAATTCGCCGGATCTGGCTCAATGATCCCGCTTCGTCTGGCTTAGTCCCGTCGAATCTGGTTTATGCCTGCTTAATCCCGTTTCAGCCCGTGCTTCATCCAGCCTGCTCTGGCTCAATATTCGGTTGTGACGGGCATTGCAGACCAAAAGTTGCATCGTTAAGAAAGGACCGCGGCCTCGATGGTCGAATGTCGGTTGTGCCTCTGTAGGGGTTCGCCTGAGGGCTTCCTTGCGCGGGGCTGATCGTGATCCGTTAGTCGATCACGCTGTTGAGGGCGTGAAATTCTGCATCATAGCGGCCGCCTCGGATTTGCCTGGGCACGTCCCAGTGAAAGCTGTCTGGGAGGCAGTCTGCGTGCTTATCCCGAAGCCCAAACCTTGGGCCCAGTGTGTATATAGACCCCGCGCAGGCGATCTTCCTGGCACTCGCAAGGATCGGCGTCTCGATGACTTCGGCTTTTTCGTTCGGTATATGTACTCAGCCGTTGAGTGCACTGCAGGCTTTCTGTGCGACCATGTCTGAGAGACAGCGTCTGTTGTTTTCAAATTTCATGAGTGTCAGTCGGGTGACAGGGGCCTGAGTCAGGCAGTTGCACGGCAGTCTTCTTGCGCGGTTGCTCACTCAACTGGTTAGCGTGGAGCCAGCATCACAAGGCCAAATCCGAAGCCTCATCGGAGGCCTTTCCTTGAAGCCAAGCCCGATAGTACGCGCATGAGAAAAGTCTGGGCGACTGGTGCCAGATGTGAGGGGAGAGAGGGACCCTGTGCCGCAGATTCCATCCGTGCCCATGCCTCGAGCGCACTCGTAGAGTGGAATGCCCACCGTTTCTCTCCAGGAGGCTGCTCGACAGGTGCGCGCCAGGAACGAGATGCATGTCGATTTGTTTTGCAGATGCCTCTACCCCGGCGTGCTTTCCCCAGGTTGAGCCCGACGTGGAGGTATGCTGGGGCGGGGTGCCGGCCGAGTGACCCTTCTCGGGGTGTGTGCTTGTAGACGGCTCGGCGCACCACACCACCACCAGTCGTGCTGTTTTCGCGGTTCTGCAAGTCGACAGGGTTGGCACAGTAGTGGGGGCTTGTTGTGGCTCCTTTCTCGCCGCCCAATGCGAGTGGGACCCAGACAACCCACTGCACGTACAATCTGATTGTGCCGCCTCCACCTCGTGCGTTCGGGACCCCGGGGCAGGCCTCGATGGGATGCAAGCCAGCCGGCACTTCTGGCCGGCCTGGTTGGGGGGCGGGTGGTGTTGGGCATCGCGCTGCTGTCATCAAGGTGACCGATGGCCAATCCGACGCCCACTCGCCCTCAGACCATGAGACCTGACTGATCCGAGGCAACGTGGCAGCAGACATCTACGACAAGCCAGGAGCCAGCTGTGGCAGACGCCGCCGCAACAAGTTTTGCTCATCTAGGGCACCGAGAACCCGGCTGCTGCGGCCAACAGGTGGCCACGCGAGGGCAGCAGCTGTTCCCGGACTCTTGGCCTGTGGACTCGCAGGGTGTTGCTTGGACCTCGGGTGCCTTCTTCTCGAGTCGGACCCAGGGGATTTGGGTTGCCTCCGCGAGGTGTGTTTGGAGGCTGGGGTGAGGCCTTCTGAGGGAGTGGAGGGGGTCAGGCTTCTCAGTGCTGCTGCTGCGACTCCGCTGCCAGCACCTCCTCGGCAGCCCTCCGCCCGAGGGAGGTCTCGTCCCTGGGGCCCCCTGGGCGTCTGATGGGCACAGCCAGGTCCAGGCAGATCTCCCGAGCGGCGAACGAGGTGCGGAGATCCAGCCTGATGACGCAGTTTGGTTCTGCAGGTCCTGTGGGGCTTCGATGTTTCTTTGCAGGTGCGGCGAGGGGAGGCCCAAAAAAACGAAGGGTTTTTTTTGTGCAATCCTTGGGTTTTTTTGTGCAATCCTGGGTTTTGTTGTGCAATCCTTTGGGTTTTTTTGTGCAATCCTTCGGGTTTTTTTGTGCAATCCTGGTTTTTTTTGTGCAATCCTTCGTTTTTTCGGGTTTTTTTGTGCAATCCTTCGTTTTTTTGGTCGGCCCCTGTCAGGGATCCTCGGGCCCAAGCTTGCGCACCCAGCGATTCAGGCCTGCGGAGGGTTTCTCTCCTGCCAGGGTGAGCGCTCGGATCGGCAACGCGTCAGGCCCGCGCGCTGCGCATGTGTGGCACCCTGGAGGCCGCGACTGCCTTCGCCTCCTCCTCCTCCTCCTCCTCCTCCTCCCCTCCTCCTCTCCTCCTCCTCCTCCTCCTCCTCCTCCTCCTCCTCCTCCTCCTCCTCCCCTCCTCCTCCTCCTCTCCTCCTCTCCTCCTCTCCTCCTCCTCCTCCTCCTCCTCCTCCTCCTCCTCCTCCTCCTCCTGGATTGGACCTTCAAGCCACCTTCCCATAGCTTCGAGCAGCCAGAGGCCGTCGACATCGAAGGCCAGGGCGGGTTGCCAGGCGTTGCCGGATTGTCGCCTGTGTTGCACGGCTTTGCTATCTCATTCGGACGTTGGGTTCAGAGGTTGCGAGCTTTGGCTCTGCAGCTTCTGTGGCCGAGACTGTTCTGTGGTTTTAGTGCGTCGGTTCCTGAGCTTCCCCATTCTCGGGCCCCGGGGCCCTCACGGATCGATCCCGCACGAAAAGTGCAGCAGGAAGACATGGTCGAAAGTTCCCATCGTGATCCGTCGCGATGCTCCAAACTTCCAGAAGGGGGATCCAAGACGGCCCGAAAAACGCCCCAGAGCGCTCCAGGAGCACCCCGAGAGACCCCCAAGAAGCGATTTAAACAGTTCTAGAGGGGCAGCGACGGTTGAGGGCACCCCCTTTCTTTGATCAGAACAAGATGGTCCCAGGGATGCTTCGAGGCGGCCAAGTGGGCCCCGGGAAGACCCCAAGAGGCCCTGAGGCACCAAGATGCCGAGAGGGCTCCGGGAGGCACCTGAGACCCCAAGAGGCCCCAGGAGGCATCAGGAGGTCCCCAAGACGCCCTACTCCTTCCTCCTCCCTCCTGTCGCGGGCGTTGATGAGGAACGTTTTGATGGAAGCACCCCGCTGCAAAGTTCGTATTGGGTCAGGTCCCGTCGCTCAGGTGGTGACATCCAACGTATTGAGAGTCACATACCAGATGTCAAAGGATCTGATTGTTCCCATCCTTCTGCTGTTTCATCGATTTCGGGTCTCGGGGCCTTTAAACGTGAATCCGCGACGCAAGCCTCCCGTAGGGAAGCGGTCGAAGACTGGGGCCCAGGATTGAAGACATCGTATCTTTAGATGTCCGGAAATGCAGATGTTTTGCTCCGCTTTGGCTTCTGAGGCCCGGCCTAAACAAAAACGCCTTAGGACGAAAAGCCGGCCGTGGGGAACACGCGTAGACGTCCGAAACACCCGAATTCAACAGCATCGCTAGGGACTCGGCTCGACCACCAGCGAGCGCACGGTGTGTCAACATCGCTTTCTCGAGTTTCCGCCGGCTTCTGGCCCAGAGCGTTGAGGCACCGAGGCCAGTCCCAGGCACACCTCTTGAGAAAGAGCAGCTGCCGAGCCGAAGACGTGATTTTCCATTACGTGTGGCCCATAACGTGATGGGCCTGTCTTTCACCACCACTACCATTGGCAGGAGGAGGGGGAGGAGGAGAAGGAGGAGGAGGAGGAGGAGGAGGACGACGAGGAGGAGGAGGAGGAGGAAGAGGAAGAGGAGGAGGAGGAGGCGAAAGAGGAGGAGGAGGAGGAGCAGGAGGAGGACCTCCCCTATCCTCCTCTCTCCCCCGTCCTACCTATAATAGCGGTGGTGGAAAATGAGCCCATCGATGCATCCAGTGCTCTGAGAAAAGGGAGGCGGACGCTGTTCGCCGTCTTCGGCTTCTAGGGCCCCCCCCACCAGGCCCAGAGGCCGTCCACAGATCGTTCGGAGCGGCCTTCAGCTCTGTAGCAAGGGCTGCCACGAGGGCGCGACGTTCTTTCGCGGGCCCGCGTGGGAGCGAGGCCTGGCGGGAGCTCACACACTGTACAGCGCATCAGCGCCGCTCTCGTTTACTGCTTTGCACGACCGCCACTCCCACTCACGATGGCGCGCCGCAGCACCAGCCGTGTGCAGGCGCTCTGTGCCGCCTCCCCTCGCAGCACCTGCGGCCGGGACGCGGAACGAGGGAGCACGTTTGGGCTCAAGCGAGGCTCGGGCTTCCGGGCCGCTCTCGAGGTCTATGTCATGGAGCCTGCTTGTGGCCCAGGCCCGCCGTGGCCAGGCTTGCCCCTCCGCTCTTGCGGGTGCGCTCCTGGTGGTCGCACGCTGGCCGTGTCCGCAGCCCTCTGGGCCCAAGCATGCTGCGCGCCCTGGGGGCTCGCCGCGGCTCGCCACTGCCCGGCAGACACGGAGCAGGGCGCCTCGAGACACCGGGTGCAGAAGCGCAGAAGCGGTCCCGGATCCCTCTTGGGGCCCAAACGTACCTCTCGGGGGCGGAAAAGAGGGGGGTGATGACTAGGGGGGGGGGATATCATGGCGGGGGCCATGATATTTCCCCAGATTTCATGGCGCCTCTTCTTATTTCCTTACGTCCCTGGCCCCCCCACTGGGCCGCGCACATGCCGCCGGTCATGATTTGCACCCCCCCCTCTTGGACACCCCCCTCTTGGCCGCTCCCGAACCTCGGGGGCCCCCAAACGGGGCGGTGATTATACCGTGCGGTGAGTCGGTGGGGATTCGGGGTCACCGCACGGTTTTGGGACTCGAGCCCTTCTCCGAGGATGTCTCGGGCGACAGGGGCCTCCAGGGTCCCAAGACCGTGCGGTGACGGACCGTGCGGTGAGGTCTTGGGGGATTTCGAGGTCACCGCACGGTCAGTCACCGCACCGTTTCGGGACTCCCAAGTACCAATCTTCCGAGCTGCGTCCAGCCGTGGCGACGAGGGGGGCCCCCGAAGGCAAGCTCCCGGTGTCTCACACGGCCCTCCTCTGACAGACGGACCCAGGGCCTCGCGCCTGCTGCTGGCGCCAGGCCGCGCCCGCGGCAAGTCGAAGCCCGCTAAAGGCCGCCGCGCCGCCCTCACGCGCAGCTGGCGCGGATGGGGGTGGCCGACCTCGACCGGCAGATCGAGCAGCTGCGCAGGCCAGGGGCGTCGACCGACAGGGGTGGGAGCCGATCGATCCCCACTCCCCGATCGATCGACCCCCAATCCCCTTTCGTCCTCCTCCTCCTCCTCCTCCTCCTCTTACGCCTCCTCCCCTCCCCTCCTCCTCCTCCCTCCTCCTCCTCCTCCTCCCTCCTCCTCCTCCTCCTCCTCCTCCTCCTCCTCCTCCTCCTCCTCCTCCTCCTCCTCCTCCTCCCCTTTCGTCGTCGTCCTCCTCCTCCGCCTCGAACCCCCCATCCCCGATCGATCCCCAATCCCGACCGAATCGCTCTGGTATCAATCGTAAGTCGGGCGTGCCCCTCTACAGGAGGAATGTTCAAGAATAGTCAAAAATAGTCTGGGGACGATCTTTCGCGCTCTTCTGATTACGTTTTCGATCATTTCTTGATCATTGTTTGTCTTCTTCCAGACTCCTTCTTAAGAGGACATGCCCGACCGAAGGCCAGAGGCGCCGACCGACGGGGGGGGAAGCCGTCGACCCCCCATCCCCGATCGATCCGGTCCGGTATGGTACCAATCACGGCCGGCTCGATGCGACTCGGTTCCGACGTTCCGACGACGATCCGACGCGCCCCGAGGCTTGCAAGCGAAGCAGAAGAGCACGGCCCAGACATAAAATGCTTGCTCTCCGCGCAGCTTTCTCGGATCCGCGCTGGGCTCCCCCGGCGCGTTCCGCGCGCCAGGGAGGGGGGTCCCCGCGGACCGTCGAACGTTTCTGTTTTTACGGTCTTTGCTTCTTCTAGGTTCGATGTTCCGACGATCCGATGCGCCCCGAGGCTTGCAAGCGAAGTAGAAGAGCACGGCCCAGACATAAAATTGAAATTCTTGCTCTCCGCGCAGCTTTCTCGGATCCGCGCTGGGCTCCCCCGGCGCGTTCCGCGCGCCAGGGAGGGGGGTCCCCGCGGACCGTCGAACGTTTCTGTTTTTACGGTATTTGCTTCTTCTAGTTTCGATGCTCCGACGATCCGATGCGCCCCGAGGCTTGAGCACGGCACCGTGGCGCTGCCGGTTCGGTTCGATCTCGGCGTCCGAGCCGAGGCGGCCCGATCCGATGCCGATGCGACCACGCCAGCCCGACCCGACGGCCCCGATTTCCCTCCATGTCCGTACACCCCCCTTTTGTGCGCCCCGGAAACGGCAGGGCCGTTTTTTCACCGTTTCCCAAAAAATGTAAAATGTCCCTTGAAAATGGAAACGGCAAAAAAACGGCGACCGGAAACGGCAAAAAAACGGCTCCAGGATTGGAACCGGAGCCGGAACCGGTCAAAAAACGGCGACGGAACCGGAACCGGTAAAAAAACGGCTTTGTCGTTTCCAGGGCCCACTAAGACCCCCCCACTCCGAAATTCGGGTCTTCGGGTTGGGTTGGGTGGTCTGGTAGGTAGTCGACGGATCGGATTAGTGGTGGGCTGTCCTCGATGCCGCGCGTCGACGGATCATTGGCAAGATGTGGGGTCGCGCTTTCGGCGGCACCTCTCCGACTCCAGCCCCTCTTTTGTTCTTTCCGACTCCCGCTCTTACCGCTCCGACTCCGGCTGTTTCTGAGCGGCCAACCCTTATGCCCACCCGCCGCACCCCTCGTAGGTGCCTCGGCGCGGGCTCTGTCTGTCTGGCTCGGGCCGGACGAAAGGGGGGGGATAGGGAAAGGGAGGGTTACGAATTTGCTGCATGCAGCTGGCTTCGGCCCCGCCGCCGAGCCCATTCCTCGATACATGGGCGCCGCCCAGCGCCTGGAGGCTCCGGGAAAATCAGCTGCGTGAGCTGATTCTCAATCCCCCCTTTGCTATCCCCCCTTTCGCCTGGGGACGATCTGCCCATTGTGTTTGGCTATTTTTGGCCGATCGCCGACGTTTCATAAAAAAGCTATGTTTGGCTATCGCCGATGTTTGACTATTTGGGCCATTTGTTTCATCAAAAGCGAAAGAAACCTCTGGGGACGATTTGCCCATTGCGTTTGGCTATTTTTGACCACGTGTGGACTTATTATTCTTTCTTCCCAAATCCGCCCGCCGGAGGACATGCTCGACCTAACACTATCGGGGGCTGATCGCCGATCTTTCAGCGAGGCATCGGCGATTTCAGGTTCTTGTTTTCTACCCTGAGCGAGCCCCCCTCTTGTGGGCTACTTTCAGCAGGAAGGGACAAGAAAAGATGGGAAGAAATGGGAAGTGGGGGGAGAGGACGAAAGTGCAGAATATGTGGGGAACTATCGGAAATTCTGGGATTTGTGTCTGTCTATCTGTGTGTCCCTGGGCCTCTTTATCGGAGCAGGTGCGAGTACATCAAGGAGTCGGAGGTGAAGGCTCTGTGCAACAAGGCGCGGGAGATCCTCACCGAGGAGAGCAACGTCCAGCAAGTGGACGCGCCTGTGACCATTTGTGGTGACATACATGGACAATTCTACGACCTCGTCGAGCTGTTCAAGGTCGGGGGGGATTGCCCAGATACAAATTACCTGTTCATGGGTGATTTCGTCGACCGTGGATTCCACAGCGTGGAAACACTGCTGCTGCTTCTCGCGCTGAAGGTTAGGTATCCGGACCGGATAACGCTGATCCGCGGCAACCACGAGAGTCGCCAGATTACGCAGGTGTACGGCTTCTACGACGAGTGTTTCCGCAAGTATGGGAGCGTCAACGTCTGGCGATATTGCACCGAGATTTTCGATTATCTGGCTCTGGCTGCTCTCATTGAAGAGAAGGTGTTCTGCGTCCATGGTGGCCTCTCTCCATCCATCAACACCCTGGACGACGTGCGCCAGATTTACCGGAAGCAGGAGGTGCCGCACGACGGAGCGATGTGCGACCTGATGTGGTCCGACCCAGAGGACTCGGCCGCGTGCACCGGTAGGAGGGGGGAAGGCTCCTTAGAGAAGGAGGCGGCTTCTCAGAAGGCGCCGGCCCTATACATGTACAGATGAGGCCCGCGCCTTCAAGGAACAACTCCTATCCAAGAAGCCTTCCCGCCCCCCACCAAGGGACGTGCGCTCCTCCTCCTCCTCCTCCTCCTCTTCCGCCTCCTCCTCATCATCATCATCCTCCTCTTCCTCCTCCTCCTCCTTCTCCTCCTCCTCCCCCTCCTCCTCCTCCTCCTCCTCCTCCTCCTCCTCCTCCTCCTCCTCCTCCGTAGCCATTTTGGCTCAAGTCCGTAGCGTGAGGCTCAGGGCTTGACGAGTGGCGTGGGGGGATCCGCGGCCCCCAACTGCTTTCGCCTGTTGCAAGGCACACATCCTCGGCACATCTTCGAGACAGTACCGTCGTATTGCTCACACCTCTTCCCGCGTTCCATGGCTAATGGTTCCTCTTCGCATGCCGCTGCTGCGAACAAGTCCGCAGCTGTCTCGGATCGCAGGACCTGGGCCGCCCCATGGCTCTGCCGCTGGTGTACGCACCCGCGCACAGGGGCCAAGTGGTGGAATCGAGGAGATTGCCAGCAATGTACCAGCTGTCGTGTTGCTAAGGGGGCCAGCTTCGGTGGCCCCAAGCCCACCGACGGCCCACCTGCACAGAGGCCAGCCTCGACCAGCGTGCGGCGCAAAGGGGACAGCGTGCCGCCTTGGTCAGATGTGGCGGCCAAGGATCGCGAGATCGCGCAGCTCAAGGCACAGCTCAAGGCGGCCAGCGCCCCCGCCGTGGACGAGGGAGCCAGCGAAGCTGATGACCCTCAGGGACGGCTCGCAGAGATTGCTTCGCTCCTCCGTGCCTTGGGCACAAGCACCGACCCAGCCATCATGGGCGCGAGGGAGGCCCTGTCCAAAGAACGGGAGGCCATCAAGCTGCGCATCGTTGAGTCGAAGCCATTCGCGGGCCAGCTTCACCACTATACCACCCGCATCGACGCGCTGGTGCAGGCGAAGGACAAGCGCCAGGCCGCGCTCCAGGACCTGCAGGAGCAGCGCAAGCGCCTGGATGACAGGATCACCGAGACAGAGGGCCAGATCGCTGAGATCACGGCCGAGGTGCAGGAGCTTGAGGCGCTGCGCTGGAAAGTCTCGGCCAAGGCACCTACGGCGGCACCTGGCGAGTGCTCCCTGCGCGCGCTCGTGCCCGCAGTCGACATTTCGGTCGAAAAGATGGGCGAGATGCTCCAGGGCCTGGGCGCGGATGACCAGCTCGCGCAGTCGGCGGCCACGGTCTTCAGCCAGCTGCGCGCACTCGCGGACAAGGCAGCTGCAGCAGGGTCGGACGCATCTCCAGCACCAGGGCAACCTGAAGGAGGCAGCTCCAGTGAAGCTGCGGCTAGTGGACCCGCAGACATGCCGTCGGCGGGACAGCAGCAGGAGGCGCAAGCCAGGCCTGTCCCCATGGACACAGACGACCTGGACGAGTTGCGGGAGTTTCTGCGCAATGCCACGGGCGATGACCCGCCGCAGGAGGAGGCGCAGGTCAGGGAGGCCATCAAGCGAATGGCCAATGCAATGGAGACTCTTCAGGCCAAACGGATGCGTACGGGTCAAGCCTGAAGGTCATGACTCAACAAATGTGGTGCTGGACGAAGCGGCCTACGGCCTCGCCTACCTGGTAAAGTTCATGTTAGTCTTCTGGTTGGTGAAGTTTTGGACGGACATCAACCTCGTCTACGACATCCTGCTGAAGATAGGGTACCACAGCGGTTGGCTAGGGCAAGTGCTGTCGACGGGCTCCCTTGGTAGCCGCGCGGATGCGGGCTTTAAAGTCGTCAGACCTTCCCCAAGGTCCGCGCCTCGGGAGCCAACGGGACCCAGCACCTCTGCCGCTAGCCGTCGCACAAGCTCAAGAAGTGCTGCTACTCCTGCTGCGCCGTGTACGCTGCAGGAACGTGCGGGCGGTCCCGTAACATGGGGCCGCTCTAGTCGATACCGCCACGACCGTTATCGGGGGTTTCTTATCGCACTGGTAGTGTGCTCGGTTGAAGGGGTGCATGCCAATGGCTCCAACGTGAACCAGGTCCTCACCTCCAACCTTACGTCTCATGGAGCCATGGCTGGAGTCTTGAGTGCGCCCCGCAGCTACAAGTCTATTGTCTGCCTGCAGGAACATCATGGCGATGACCAGCGACTCCCTGAGCTACAGAATACAGCGCGCCATCATGGGTTTCATGGAGTATGGACGGCGGCCGCACCTACGGGCCGAGGAGGCACTTGCGGAGGATGCGCTATTCTTGCACCGAAGCATGTGCGGCTTGGAATGGGACCACTGTTGACCACTCCGACTCTCGCGCCAGGCCGAATCACGGTGGGACATGCCAGCTGGGGACCACGGGGAGGCACAGTACTGGTCTCCATTTACTTGGTCGACTCGGTGGGCCTCAATCAAGAGAATATGGATCTACTTACCACTTTAGCACAATACCTGGAGGCGCTCAATGGTTTGGGACAGCCATGGATTGTGGCGGGCGACTGGAACATGGACCCATCGAGCACGATGGATTGGATGCATTCGGTACACGGAGTGCAGCATGTCCCAGCCCAACCCACATGCAATGCCACGCAACCTGGCACTACCAGGGATTATTTCTGCGTCTCGGCGGCCCTGGTCGATTGGATTCGAGGATGTGAAGTCGGAGTGGCAGCGACCTTTCCGCATCAGCCTGTGCATTTGGGGTTCCAATACTGCGCACATGAGCAATGGGCACGCGTTCCTGTTATACCTCGTCCTCTCCCGACAGTGCCGAAGGTGGGTTGTGCCAGATTCTCCCCAGACGGCAATGGGCACGCGTGAAGCAGCTAATCGATCAAGCCTCAGATGGTGTGACCTTGGCTGCGGCGTGGGATGGGGTTATTGCGACGATGGAGCATGAGATCCTCAACCGCAATGACATAATGGACATAACGCAGCGGGGACTTTATCACGGCCGAGCTGGTCCAGACCAATGGGTATGGAAGCGAGTGCAGGCAGTCGTACCACCGAGACCGAAGCGGTTGAGCGCCTACCAGCAGTATGGCAAGTGGTGTCGGCATCTACGCTCCACATACACACGAATGCACACGGCCCTCCAACGCATAATGGAAGAAGCAGATGCGAACCGTTTTCCCGCTAGACTATTGCCAAACATTTACGGCCAGCATGGACATTACGTCAACAGCCTGGGCAGTCTTGACCAAGGTGTGGCCAAGGAGCAGCGGTTGTTCGCGCAACTCAGTCGGGACCTTCAGGGTTTCTTCGCGCGGGTTGTACGTACTGGCTGGGTTGGGCCGCTGCTTGATTATGAAGATCGAATCCAGCTCCACAGTCTGCACGACAGGTTTTATGAGCCTGACTTCCTAGACAGGATAGACCAAGCCCTGGACAAGGTGAATCGCGTGACGGAGGCCATACGCAAGTTTGCTGGCATCGAATGGGCGCAGTGGGCCAAGCAGGCATTTCAAAATGGGGCTGGCAAAGCGCACAGGTACACCAGGGTGCGCGAGCTACAAGAGACGTTGCAGTATGCCGAGAACGACCGTGGCCAACCGCACCACATGGCAGACGAATGCTTGGATTTCTGGAAGGGTGTCTGGACCATTCATGATGACACAGCGGTCGCCACGCCGGCAGGACATGCAGATTGGGAGGACTTACCTGAGATCACAATCGATGACATTCGTAACATACTCAGACGATTCAAAGCCACTACGGCGCTTGGGCAGGTATCGATGCAACCCCGTGCACTGACCCAAGTATCGGACATTGGATTGGGAGTCCTTGCTTCTCTCTTTCACAAATGCGAGAGGTTGGCGTGCTGGCCCGTGCAGAGGGTCACCACGGTGCTAGTGAGACTCCCCAAGCCCACGGGGGGCCACCGCCTCATCGCACTCATCAATACTGTGGTCCGTATTTGGAGCCGATTACGACGAAGGATATCTAAGAGATGGGAGCTCGCCAACCCTTCGACTGCCTTTTGGGGCACGAGGCCTGGGGCGACTTCTACCGACGCTGCGTTTCAACACAACATAGCTGCAGAGACGGCGAAGCTCAATGGCATGCATACGGTCAGTGCACTCATTGACATGTACAAGTGTTTCGAGACGATACGACATACCGCGCTGCTGGACAGAGCCAGTCAGATGCAATTTCCGATGAGATTACTCTGGATGTTGATTCACACATACCAGGCACCACGGCAGGTGCGAGCTTACGGGTCACTGTCCACCAAGTTCACCTCCGCGCAGGGCATACTAGCGGGATGCTCTCACGCCTGCGCCATGGTCCACCTGCTTCTCTGCCAGTCCTTGGAGGCCCTACGCAGGAAGTATGTGGAGGTGGTGCCACGAGCGTTGATGGACGACGTCAGCTTTCAATGGATAGGTGCAGAACCCTCTCAGGCGGTCGTCCTATTTCATGCAGTACGATGGTTCATTCGCCAAGTGCAGCCGCTGGGTCTCATCATTCAGGTAGACAAAAGTGGATGCGTGGGTGGCACTACGGAGGCGACACGGGTGGCGAAGAAGCTTGCGGGTTTCATTCGGTTTCGCTGCCACAAACACATGCGCAATCTAGGACACGAGCTCGCGGGGGTGCGACTAAGACGTATACAAGAGAGAAAGCGTGTCATGGGCGTTCTGGCCAGGAGGGGCAAGTTGGCTGCGCTGCAACGGGGACGAGCTCAAGTTCATACTCTGTGGCGCACGGGCCTGCTGCCCGCTGCTGCGCATGGAGCTGGAGCTAGCGGGGTCGTCCCTGCGACGCTGGCAAAGCTACGCACACTGGCTGGCTCTTTGGTGGGAGCCAAGTCACACGCCAGCCTTACGGCCTGGCTTGCCACACAGAGTGATGAATGGTTTGACCCGATATTCGACGTCACGACAGACCTAGTATGTAGATATGCTATCACAGTGTGGGATGGACTGGTACCCCTCAGTCAGCTACAACGGGCGTGGACTGCCATGATGGAAGCTTGGAATGGTGAATACACGTGGGCCAGATGCAATGGCCCTCTCTCAGCGGTGTCGCTCAGCCTGCACAGGGTGGACTGGAAGATGGCGGCGGCACATATGCTATGCGACGACCAGGGCAACCTCGTGAACCTTCTTACCACTACGCCGTGGGATGTGAAGCTGTTACTGCGACAGAGCATTGGACGATGGCAGATGTTGCGTATTGTTAGCCACATGCAGCCTATAGTTGGGAATCCCCATGGAGTCTGGAGGCGTGCACTTCGCAGCTCAATTCTCAGCTTGAAGAATCCGATACATAGAGGCTGCGCCCGCAGATTGCTTGGTTCCGCACTGTGGCCCCCAGCAAGGAAGAAGGCCCTAGGGATCTCGGACAGCCACCAGTGCGAGATGTGTGTGAGTTCTGAGGCTGGCACTCTAGGGCACCAGTTGTATAACTGTGAAGGGGTGCTTCACCCACCTGAGGAGCTGGCTGTTGAATCCCTTTCTGAAGAGGTCTTGGAGCGCAGGGAGTATCTGCGGGGTCTTGGGGACAATGGGCTTGGCGACCCAGAGTGGGACTCTCTTGAGCTGTACGGGTTGCCTTACCATCCCATCAAGATAGCCCCCCTACCCACGCAGTGCCCTGTGTTCCACTGGGGGGCTACGCATCTTCCCTGGGGGCGGCGGATCTACACTGACGGCTCGGGGCTCGCGAACGCGAGCCCTGAACTGCGTAGGTGTGGATGGGCCGCGGTGGAGTTGTCGGACTCTGGGCTGCCCTTGAGGGCGGTGTTTGGGCCGCTCCCTGGGCGCCAGTCGGTGCCCCGTGCGGAGCGGTACGCGGGTTTGATGGCTCTTTCGGTAGCCCCCCAGGCGACCACAATATATAGTGATCACTTAGCCTTTGTGCAGGAAGGCCAGAGCTGGAGTCCCCAGCTGGCCTGCGGTTTGTCACGACACGCTGATGTGTGGCGTCGCATCTTCCAGCTCTTCGAGCAACATAGGCCTCCGCCCGAGTTCGTTTGGGTCCCTGCACACAGAGACATGGATGAGGTCATGTCACTGGAGCAAGGACAGATCACCAGTTACTTGGGTAACGCTTGGGCCGACTTTTTCGCGCGCCTTGGAGCCCAGGACCATCAGTATGCGCAGGTTTGTCTCGACGCGGAGAAGGCCCATTTGAAGGCCTGCAAAGCCACCTGGGGTTTCTTGGCGCGCGCGGTCCAGATCATTGGGGAGTACTCTAAGACGTTTGAGCCCCCAACGATTCCAGTGTGCCAGTATGCTGAGCGAATCAATTTGACGCTCATAGAGCACGAGATTTACCGACTGCCGAAGCGTGCGGAGTGGCGTTGCAGGAGGTGCAATATGTCTGCCAGGAGCGAAGCCACACTGCGGGTTATGTGCAGCGGGGCCGCTAGGAGGTGCCAGGGCAGCGAGCTAGAGCGCTGCCGCGCCGACATCATTTTCGCTGCCGAACCCCAGGCACGCCTTCACACTGCGAGCAGCCCCGCGGTGTCAGATCCCGTTCCTCCCTCGCTGGGCCAGGACCCCTCCTCCCCCTCCCTGACCGACGCCGCGTTGGAGGCTGGGTTGAATGCCATTGCCGCGCTGGGTCACAGGCCTGCCCGCCACGGTAGGGTGATCATATGTCAGAGGTGTGCTGGATACTGGATCCTCCCCGACGGCAAGTGCCGCAAGCTCAGTAGACAGTGCGAAGGGGAGGCCAAGGTAGCCAGCAAGATTCAGAATCACAGAATGTACTGGCGACACGCAGAGGTAGGTTGCCACCCCAAGACGGGCGAAGTTTTGGGTCCGTGGGATGGCGCCCTTGTTTCAGGTTCGGTGCCTGGGGCCGTTCGTTTCCCGTCCTCCGAGGCCACTGGACCTAGGGCTAGCTCTGCGTGTTCGGCCAAACATGATGGTATGGGGCAAGGACACTGTGGTGGTCGTGTCGAGACGTCGTCCCGTCGTGCACCACGTCCTTGCCCTCCCACGGCTGCGAGCACAGTTTTGACTCAGGCTCAGCCTGTGCCTGCTTCGGACTCTGATTAAATCAGAGTTGGCCTCCTGCTGCGGTGCGAGTGGGGACTGCCCGGCGTTGCGCCGTTAGTGACCCTCGCACCGCTGGAGGCCAGTCTTCGGGGCGCGTAGAGCCCCCTTCGCCAGGCCCCTCGCCTGGCCTCTTCACTGCTCGGCGCTAGTCACAGACCTGCGCCTCGGCAGCCGCAAGCCGCAAGCCTCCTCCTCCTCCTCCTCCTCCTCCTCCTCCTCCTCCTCCTCCTCCTCCTCCCTCTCCTCCTCCTCATCATCATCATCCTCCTCTTCCTCCTCCTCCTCCTCCTCCTCTCCTCCTCCTCCTCCTCCTCCTCCTCCTCCTCCCCCTCCTCCTCCTCCTCCTCCTCCTCCTCCTCCTCCTCCTCCTCCTCCTCCTCCTCCTCCTCCCTCTCCTCCACCTTCCACCTTCGTAGCCATTTTGGCTAAAGGCTAAACGTGTGAAGGTGAAGTGACATACCGAATCACGATTAGTTTTGGGTCGGCAGGCGGCGGCGGCGAAGCGTGGGGCTGCACAGTGGCACCAGCCTCGCCAAGGTGGACGGGCATGACGCCGTAGCACGTACTCCGTCCGCGGGTCTTGCGGCCGCTGGGAGTTTGACCATTTCGGCAACTGGGCTTGTTGCGAGTGCGGCGGCGAGTACCTTCCTGCGGGTGGTGCGCCTCGTGGTGAAGTCGTTCCTCGCCCCGGCGCTGCTGACCCTTTCGCTGCTGAGCTTCGGTCTTTGGCGGCGAAGTATCCTCATATGGCGGGCGTCCTTGGTCAGATCAAGGCCCCGCCGCCACCCACTCCCGTCCCTCGTGAACCTGTGTCGGGGAACTCCATCGAGAAGCGTGCCTTGGCTCGGCACGCTGAGCTATCTCGCGAGACGGAGGTGGCGACTCGTGAGGAGAGGGTGGCCCAATCTGGTGTGCAACAGAAGCATGAAGCCGTCGTCCGTCATCGTGAAGCACTCGCGAAAGCGCAGGAGAAGTACGTCAAGTCTCAGCGGTGGCACGCGGAGGTTGCAGCGGCGTTGCGGGTGGCGACGGCGGCAACGGACGGATTCGATGAGACTGTGCTTCGTGCTGAGCTACGAGAGCAAAAAGGCGCGGAAGCAGAGGCTGCCGCAGCTGCGGCGGCTGCGGCGGGGGCTGAGGCAGCGCAGGTGGCGCCACAGCCTGTCCAGCCAGCGCAGGCCCAGCCTGCTCCTGCTCCTCATGCAGATCCTGTACGTGGTGAAGGGCATGCTGCAGATGGTCGTGCTGGTGCCGCTCCTGTCCCTACGCCTACTGTGCAGGCCCCCCCTGTTCCTGTTCTCACGGCTGCAGGCGCGGTGGACTTCGCGTGGGTGGAGGCCAACCTGCACGCGCTGGACGAAAGGGGACCTCGTGCGGTGCGAGGGCAGGTCTGCCATCGGCGCCGAGCAGTGGAATGCGATGTTGGCGTGGGCCAAGGCCCAAGCTAATGGTCGCGACGTGCAGATGGAGCAGAATGGCAGTGAGGTCAATGACGTCGGTGATGTGGGTGATCTTGCTGAGTTTACGTGGGCTTCGCAAGCGCGTTGCCGAGACTGGCCCCGACATCCAGGACCCCGGGCGGCGCGGCAGTTTGGTCCAGAAGGCTGCCGAGGCCCGCGCAGGCAAGCGTACCCGCCGTGCCATTGCTCAGCAGTCGAATTTCTTTTTCTACAGCTGTCTGTCAGGCAGCGGCCGCCCAGATTCAGCCAGTGCCCGCTGGAGGCGGGCGCTCTCTTTAGCCAGCCTGCGCTCGCTGAGAGATGGCGAGTTCGCAAGAGGAGTGGCCCTTTGCAGGTGACGTTTGCTAACGTCACGTCGTGGTCGGCGCTGGCCAAGGGATGCGTTGCTGAGTCTATCACTAAGGCTGATGCTTTCCTGGCGGTCGAACATCGCGCGCGTCAAAGCGCGCTTCATAACGTTAGGAAGAATGCTCGTTGCAATGGGGTGGTCTTCCTACTTTCCAGGCGGCTTGGGGTTCTCCTGGAGGTGGCGCGCGCGATGGAGTGGGCGCCCTGGCCCAGAAGGGCCTCTCGTTCCAGAGGTTTCTTTCTTTTGCTATGTGTTCTAACGTGTCTCAGGTTGGGCCTGGCGCGCGTTGGCTGTCCTGGAAGTGAAGCTGCATGGGCGCTCTACTGCTATTGGAGCGTGTTTCCTGGGTCCGTCTATTGGCATGGCGGGCGAAAACTTGAATCGAATGCGTGGCCTGTGTCGGTTTATTCGGACCCTGACTATCCCCTGGCTTCTCTTGGGGGGTGTCAGTAATGCCCCTGGGGAGACCCCCGGGGGTCTGGCTGCTTTGAGTTGATTAGGTTGCGCCCGCTTGTGCCAGGCAGTGTCGAGATCACCTGTGATGCAGGGGAGACGATGATCGACGACCTCGTTTCCCCCAAGGATTTCGCGCATGCTGTCTCTCTGTCGGCTGTCCTGGACGCGCCGCTGAAGACGCGCGCCTGTCTTAAAGCTGTCATGCTGTCATCGACGAGAACGTGCTGCCCCTCGCTCTGCTACGTAGAGTGAAGCGGGCTGCATGTCCTCCTGCCTTGGGCCCCGGCAGCGCGTGGCTGCATTACTGTAGTTGGGCTCTGCCGCGCGATTTGGGCGCGGTGCTTCCTGATAATGTCTCGGAGGCCCTCCTCGAGCATGCTGCGGGGCACTGTCCTTCGGATCTGTTCTGGGCGTGCGCGCGGTGGCCCGGGGCCGCCGAGTGCGCGGTCCCGTCGCGGGCGCGTGCTGCTGTTCCACCCGATCGAGCGTTGGGAAAGGGGCCTCGGGCTCGGGGCATCTTCGGGGTCGCTCGGGAGACGCGGCTGTAAGAAGCAGGGCGCTGTATGCGAGTGCTTGTGTTTCTGGCCCCCCGCCCATGCCCGACTCCATGGCCTCGCGAAGGGTCTGGCGAAGGCTCCCAGTTCCAGGCGCTTGTTCGATTGCTTTGCAGGCCCTGCTGGGGCGCCTGGCGGACCCTCCGCGGGTGCATCTTGGGCCTCTGCATGGGCCATCTGAGGCCTCCCGGTGGGCGCGGACGCTGGCCGGCATTGGACATGGTCCGCGAGCTGGCCGACATGGTCGCACTTGTTTGCAGGCCTGGGTCAAGGCTAACGCAGGCACAGGGGCCGGCGTTCGAGCGTGGCTCCGCACCAGTCTCCCTGGAGGTGCCCCTGAGTTTGATGAGCGGCTGCAGCCGGATGATCGCGCGACGGTGCAGCACCTGCAGGCCTCTGAAGGGGTGGCGCAGACCTCTCCAGCAATGCTGAAGTCTCGGGAGACGTCTTGCGGCAGCTGGTGGACTCCAGCTGGCGATCGCATTGCGCTCCTCAACAGAGCCATTGAGGAGCTGAGAGCCGCTGCGCAGCTTGCAGTGGTCCGAGCCCCCGAGGTCGAAGGTCGCGATGCCGTCCAAGCGTGCCGTTGTTCTTTCTGCTGGTACCGCTACTGGAGTGGGTCCATGGTCTCCTCGCGCGTGGCTCTCTTTGCCTGGTCGTGCGCTTGACGGGGTCGCGCAGACCTTCAATCGAGCTGAGCGGGAGCTCATGTTCCAGAGTCTGTGCCTGGTCAATATTATGGCGGTGCTCCCTTGGCGTGTGTCTGCAGAGCGCGCGGTGCCCAAGTGTTCCACGCGTTCTCGTGCGCGTGTGCGCATGCGTGGTGGGGTGATTGATGAGTGGAGCAGTGCTGGCATGCATGATTGGGGTGCCGCGATCAAAGGGCCATCGGCTGTGCAGCGCGCCCTGCTCAGGGTTCTATGCTACGCAGTCGCTGCGCACGTCGGTTTCGAGTCCCAGGCTGTTCATTGGGACACGGAGCGTGCGTTCGACAGCGTGGTGGTTCCGCTGCTCGTGCAGTTCGATGTGAAGATCACCAGCCTCGAACTTATCCCTATCCCTAAGATTGACACGCCCAAAGGCGATGACAATCTTAGGAATGCGCCCTGCAAAACTAAGGGGATCCCTAAGATTGGCATCGTGATGAGGCGATGCCCAGCGTAGGGACAGGGATATGTTCCAGGCTGGTAAGAAGAACGAGTGCCCACCGCAACTGCTGCATTTAGGTTCGATGGCGCACGCCTGCCCGCGAGTGTTGGCGGCGGAAGGCACTCTCTCCAACGTCACTCCTGCAGGCACGTGTATATTGGCAGGTTGTGCACAGTCTATGCCGTGGGTGACAGCTCTCTTGTATGACGTGTTGCATCGCCCGCATTGGCATGCTCCCCGCGTGCATGTATCGTCGTATGTTGATGACGTCACCCAGTACGCGCAAGACACGATCAAGTATGTCATCTATGTCGCTCCTGCTGCCGTCCTCTCTTTTTTTTCAGGGCCGTCACCTCTATTGGATGCCGTGTCTCGGTGAAGAGCGCCGCGATTGCATCGTCGCCGGTGTTGATGAGACAGCCCAGCTCAGAGTTCGAGCGTCTTGGGGTTCCTGTCAAGGCGTCGGAGGCGGTCAAGGATCCGGGGGCGGTGTCTACCGCTGGGAGGAGGAGGTGTATGGCTAGGGTCTGACTTCGTAGGAGGACTGCGTTTTGGCGAGCTCGTAAGTTGCAGCATTTGATTAAATCGCGCGGTAGGTCTTGCAAGCTCTTCAAACCTGGCGCGCTGAGCGCGGGGGCTTGGGGCCAGAGCGCATTGGGATTGCCCCTGTCTGAAGTCTAGTCCTTGCGAGCGTCTGCGGCGAAGTGCTCAGGGTACTGGCCCCCTGGTATTTGTGCCTCTACTGTATTGGCTGTTCGCCATCAATGCGCCGACGAGCCAGCCCACCGTCTGCGACGCGAGCAGCTTTTGGCTCTGGCGATCCTGTTGGTTTGAAATCTGGCGATGCTCGGACCTGGACCTCGGTCAGGGCTAAGTTGATGAGCGTCAAGCCTAGTCGGCGCTGCGCTCTGGTGAAGGGCCCTATTTCTGGTATTGTTGCTACCCTCCTGGGTTTAGGATGGGCGCCTGATTCTCCCACGAGGTGGGCCACGTCTTCTGGCGCGCTGGACCTCGAGGGCCCTGGTTTCGAGTTGTTCCTGGATAAGTGCGCGAAGGAAGCGGTCTCCAGGTTGCCCTGGGAAAGGGCGTCAACCCATCATTGCGGTGCTGGTTTGCAAGATGGTGTCGGCTTTATTGTTGTTTCGGGTCGCACGCACCCATCAAGATGAAGCTCTGCTCTGTTGCATTGTGTTTGCTGGATGTCGGCCCGAAGCACGGCTTCGGCCAGCTGGCTAAATTTCGCCCGGTGATTACCCGCGCTGTGGAGCAGTGCAGGAGACTTTGATGCACCGGGCATGACAGTGCCCGTGCAATTCCGATATGGAGCCCAGTGCTGTGTCACAGTCTGCTCCTCTCATCCCTGAAGCTCAGGAGGCTGGTCGAGCGCGTTCTGAAAGTGCTCACTGGAGTCGTGGACTCCCTACCTTGGCTGCCGCCGTCGCTCAGATCCCTCCGCCGTGTCCCCTCGTGTTCGCTTGGGGCATCCTGGTCAATGGCTGTGCGGTGGAAGGGGCAGTGTGGGGCCTTGGTGGCTCAGGTGGCAGGTGGTCTCAGGAGTGGAGACTTCGACGATGTGGGTTGGCCATGGTCAAGCTCGATCCTGGATCTGTTCCTGGAGATTTTAGATTCGATGGAGTGCTGTGTGGCAGTCTTCCGTCTCATGAGTAGTCCAGTCCTCGTTCTGAGATGTACGCATCCCTCCAGTTGCTCGTTCATGCCACAGGCGACACCGCGGCGCATTCGGACGACCTCCTCTTGGCGCTGGCGCCAAGGCGGTCCCGAACTACATTGCCCGAACGTCGCCGATGCTCGATTTGTGGAGTCTGATCTCGGCCCAGTTGGATCTGGGATCTGGTCGTGACGAGCTGTTCTGGACGAAGGCTCATGCGAGTGTGGCCTTGGGAGATGCCTGGGGCTTGTCTGAGGAGGAACAATGTGTAAATGCCTGTGCTGATTATTTTGTTGGCGCGGCCGCTGCCAAAAGGGATGTAGATCTTGAGTATGTCAAGGTGATTGCCGATGTTGATTTGCTAACCTCCCGAGTTCTTTTGCGCTCGTTGGATGTTGACAGGGAGGTTTATCTCACCTGCTCCCGCAATACAGCCGAGCGTGTTGGTAGGCCACTTCCTCGTCCGAAGGCGTTGCCTACCGACTCTGAGCGGCGCCAGCGCCTGCGGGGTGCTGGCCACTCTGGTCAAGAGTGGTGGCTGTTTGCGGTGTGAGGTGTGTCAACGTAAGTTCCCAGCCTACAGCGGGCAAGACTTCTGAGTTTAATCCTGGGTAAGCTGCGTGGGTACGCCTCCAGTGCGTGACGGTCCTGAAGCGGCCATGGCTCACCCAGCGCACCCCCGTGCGCATGGTTCCCACTCCCTGGACTGCGTCAGAGGAGTGCTGTTTCGCAGGGCCTGCGGCCGCCACTGTGTGGACACGGTCCAATCTTTGGCTGGGCCGCGCCCTCCTCAAAGCCCCTTCTGAGGCGGGTCGCGAGGTCTTGTCTCGCCTGTCGCGGGGGCTCCCGCCCAAGAGTGGGCAATCCTTCCCGCGTTCACGTTGATATTGAGGTTGGGTCCCTGGACCATCAGGGAGCGCCCATGATCGCAAGGTCAGAAGTTCTCCTCCACCTCCTCCTCCTCCTCCTCCTCCTCCTCCTCCTCCTCCTCCTCCTCTTCCTCCTCCTCGTCCTTCTCAACCTCCCTCCAAGAAGCCTTTCCGCCTCCCCCCTGCCCCGTGAGCGCGCCGCCGGAGGACATCGAGGGCTGGGGCCTGTCCCCCCGCGGCGCGGGCTACCTCTTCGGGGGGGACAGCGCGGGCCGCGCCCAGGGAAGGTCACCACTAATTATGGGGGTCAGGAGTCCTCCTGGAAATCGGGCTTTCCAGGATCGAAGCTCGAGAAGGTCTGTGGATGTCCCGTGTGCAGTGGAGACCCATGCCAAGAAACACCCTGCTCGCCTCCAGGGTGCCGTGGTTTCCTTAGGTTTCGGTGGTTTTGCAATGGACAGCGTGACTTTCCCAGCAAAAACCAGTGAACGTCCTGGGGTCTCAGGGTTGGGTGTCTTCTGGAAGATTTCTTGTGGTCGCGCCCCAACTGTAGTGTTGGGAAGGGTCTCAGGTTGGGACAACGGTAGTTCAAAATCGGTCCCCAGACCCCTCATCCTCCTTCCTCCTCCTCATCCTCCTTCCTCCTCCTCCTCATCCTCCTCCTCCTCGTCCTCCTCCTCCTCCTCCTCCTCCTCCTCCTCCTCCTCCTCCTCCTCCTCCTCCTCCTCCTCCTCCTCCTCCTCCCCCTCGAGGTCCAGACGAAACGTCTTTCCCGAGCTGCGTCCAGCCGTGGCGACGAGGGGAGCCCCAGAAGGCCAAGGGTACCGCTGCCTCAGTTCGTCCTCCTCCGATTCTCTCGGGGGCCCACTTCCTCGAGGCAGTGGCGCTTCCTGGAGGTACCAGCCTCGGATTTATCCCTATCCCTAAGATTGACACGCCAAAAGGCGATGACAATCTTAGGGATGCGCCCTCAAAAATGAAGGAATCCCCAAGATTGGCATCGTGATGAGGAGATGCCCAGCATCGGGTTAGGGATATGTTCCAGGCCGGTAATGGAGGAAGTACCGGCCCCACCTGGTGGCGACCCCCTTGTGGCGCTGCCCGGCCATAGTGAAGCAGTTCAACCAGGCGAACAGCGTCGAGCTGATCTCCCGAGCCCACCAGCTGGTCATGGAGGGGTACAAGTGGATGTTCAGCGAGGCTGGAGGAATGAAGACACTGCACACCTCGCGGATCTCTTGGATCGGCGCTGGGTCCCCCTGGCGGCTCCGCTGACAACGCCCCTGGCGCGCTCTCTGCTCGCCAGGGAGGGGGCTCCAGCGCGGACCCGAGAAATCGGACCCCCCAAGGAGGAGGAGGAGGAGGAGGAGGAGGAGGAGGAGGAGGAGGAGGAGTACGCCGCTTCCCTTGCTCCTCCAAGAGGCGCTCGTGACGGTCTGGTCCGCCCCCAACTATTGCTACCGGTGCGGCAACGTCGCGGCCATCCTCGAGCTCGACGAGAACCTGGAGCGGCAGTTCCGGATCTTCGAGGCGGCCCCCGCGGAGGTGAGGGGCGTGCCGGCCAGGAATTTGGACGCCCGAAATGGGCACGGAAAGAATGGGTACAATGCCCAACAACAAATGTCGTCCTAAACCAACGGCGGCCGCTGTTGGGCAGGCGGGCTTCTGTCTCGAATGGACACAGGCCGCGGCGGCGTGGACAGCGAGTCCTGTTCAAAGTGAACAGGATCCGCTGTTGGGCATTGTACCCATTCTTGCCGTGCCCATTTCGCTCGTGCAGAAGGAAGCTGGTCCCCGACTACTTCCTGTAGGTCGCCAGCGAAGCCTCGGCGGCGCGCCCAGGGGGGGAAAGTTGGTAGCAAAGCATGCGAGCTGGGTATACCCTCGCAGTTCCGTCTTTAGCGTCGTTTTCAAGCAGTGGCGAAGCGTCCTGGCTCGCCTATAGCCCTACCAAACAATGTTCTAAGATTTGTTGTGGTTTACACGAAATGTTCTTTGAACATTTCTGGCAGAGTATGTCTTCTTTTATCACATCGGGTTGATGTTCTAAGAACAGTGTTTTGGTTATTAGAACATTCTTGGGTTCTAAGAACATTTCGTGGTAGGACTACAGGAATGCCGGGACGGTCGGTCCCTGCTCAACGTTTAGCGTCGATGAGCGTCTGGGAGTGGATGAGGTAGCGCCGATTTAGCGTCGATCAGCGTCGAGGTAGCGTCGGCGAGCGTCGATTTAGCGTCGACCAGCTTCGATTTACAGGAGCCGATGGCACGGGAGGCTCCCATGAGTTGCCACCGACGGGGGGGAAGCGAGAGGGGGCCGGGCCTCCTCAGAAGGCTCAGAGGGCTCAGAGGGCTCAGGAGCATCCTGAGCCTCCGAAGACGCAGGCGGCTTCTCGGGAGGCGCTCGGTGGCAGCTCATGGGCGCCTCGTATGTCCTCGCAGTACAGTGGGGGCCCATGCCAAGAAACGCCCTGCTCGCCTCCAGGGTGCCCTGGGTTCCTTGGGTTTTGATGGTTTTGCGATGGAAAGCGCGACGCTCCCGCAGCAAAATTCAATGGACGTCCTGGGGTCTCAGGGCCGGGTGCCTTGTGGGAGGCTTCTTGTGGTCGAGCCCCTGCTGTGTGTCGCCACAGTGATTCCGCCTCTGGAGTGTATTGGCGTGCGCTGGTGTCGGGTAACTGTGATGGACAAGCGCCGATCTAGCCTCGCCTAGGAAAGATCCAGCGTCGATGGGCGCCGATGGGCGTCGATCCCGCAAGTGGGGGGCCACATGCGAACCCTACCCCTACCCCCCACGATTTCTGAGGGGGAGGGTGGGGTTCACTTCGTGCGGGAGCTCCCGAGCGAAGTGAACCCCACCCTGCCCCTTCGGAATCGTGGGGGGTAGGGGTAGGGTTCGCGTGTGGCCCCCTAGCGAGGGCCGGCAAGATGGCACGGGAGGGCCCCGGGCGTGGCCGCAAGGAGAGGGCGCGAGGGCTCCCGAGAGGCCCCCTGCCGCCTTCTGCGGCACGGGAGGGCCCCGCGAGTGGCCGCAGAAGAGGGCGCGCGGGCTCCCGAGAGGCCCCCTGCCCCCTCATTGCCCCCTCTCGCTGCCCCCCCTCTCAAGCAGTGGCGAAGCGTCCTGGCTCGCCTATAGCCCCACCGAGCAATGTTCTGAGAACCTCTTGTGGATTCCACGAGATGTTCTTCGAACATTTCTGGCGGAGTATGTCTTGTTTTAACACGTTGGGTTTATGTTCTAAGAACATCGTTTTGGCTCTTAGAGCATTCGTGGTAGGACTCCGGAAATTCGTTCTTAGAACATTCCTTCTTAGAGCATTCGTTCTTAGAACATTGGTTCTTAGAACATTCGTTCTTAGAACATTAGCCTTGTTTTTGTTCTTAGAACATTCGTTCTTAGAACATTCTTGGGTCCTACGAACAGTTCGTGGTAGGGCTATAGAAAATGCCGGGACGGTCGCTCCCTGCTCGACCCGTGGGCTCGCCGCCAGCCAGCCCGCAGCCGCCGCGGGTGCGGGGTCCGCGCAGCGGGCAGCCCGCGGCCGCAGCCAGCTGGCGGGCGGGGCAGGCGGCGCCTCCGGAGGCTCCCAGGGGCGGCGGCCCGCGGAGGTTGTGCGTCTCGTGATTGGGGAGAAAAGACCTGCCTCTCGACGCGCTCCCCCTCCCCCTCCCTCTCCCCCCTCCCCCTCCCCCTTCCTGCTCCCCCCTCCTCCTCCTCCTCCTCCTCCTCCTCCTCCTCCTCCTCCTCCTCCTCTCCTCCTCCTCCCCCTCCTCCTCCTCCTCCTCCTCCTCCTCCTCCTCCTCTTCCTGCCTGTATCGTGCACCACGGCGGGCGCGCTGGACAGGGGGCACGAGCAGAGTCAGTCACCCGAATGGTACGATCGTGGCTGGATGCAGTGCGGCTACGGGAGTGGCGAAGCTGATGACTCTGTGCCTCCTCAAGCGCCTGGCTGAGGAAACGCCTCCGTGTCGGGCTCTGAATGTGGTCGATGATTTGACGACGCATATCATCGGAGGCCCCAGGACGGTGGTGGAGAACACGGTCAAGAGTTTCGAGATCGTCACCGCCGAGCTGGATTCGAGGAAGTTGCCGATCAATTGGGACAAGACTAGATTCATGATGTCCGATCAATCTCAGCTGCCTGCATTGAGACAGGACCCCAGGTGGAAGCTATCGGACGACAAGCTGGTCATCGCCCACCGTGACCTCGGCGGCGACTCGCTGGACGGCAGGGCGAGGCGGGTCGGCACGCAGACATCGAGATGTGATGCTGCCCGCAGCACCGCACGCGCCCTTCGTCAACTGGGGCAAAGTGAAAAGCACAGTAGAGTTTTTCGTGTGGGTGCGCTGGCTAAAGCTGCGTGGGGGTCCCACATTTTGGGGATCCCGCCGACCACCCTCCATAAGCTCAGGGTCCAAGCTGCGAGATCCTGGGGCCCTCTTCTTCCTGGCACCTCCCTGGGCTTCAGGTTTCTTTCGGCTGCCCGCCTCTGGCTCAGGGACCCGCTTTTGGTGGCTGTGTCGTCGGCTGTAAAGGAATTCGTCAGTGTTTGGTGGGCCCGCTCGGTTTCGAAACCAGTGTTTGAGGCTTGTGTCCAGGATGCCATTGCGGTCCAGGGGAGCAGGGCCCCCTGGGGCCAAGTCCGCCAGCCTGTTGCTGCGCTTTTCCTGCAGCTGGCTCGGATCCGCTGGAGTTTCGACCTGTCTCGAATGGCCCTGGTTGATGACCTCAACCGTGTGTGGTCTATTGATCGGTTTTCGCCCAAGTTTTTCACCCTTCTCCTGCGTGGCTCGGTCGTCAGGACTATAGAGCGGGAGGAGCAGTTGAAACAGTTTGATTTCGGGACCTGGAGCGGCCCAATCTTCTGGCAGCCAATTCATCAGCTCCTTGGGCGGAAGTGTTCAGAGTCGTGGACGAAGTCGCATAAGGCAGCCCTGTCAGCTCTGTGTGCGAATGTGTACTGGAGCCAGCACAGAGTGTGCGAGCACAGTCCTGAAGCCCCTGACCAATGCCAGCTTTGTGGAGATGGTAGGGGCACTTTGTACCATCGCAGGTTTCAGTGTGTGGCATTCGCTCCCTGGCGACGCGAGAACCTGGATCCCGTGGTGGAGAGGGCGGCTCGTGCGATTGGCCATCTCCCCACTTCGGCTGGAGAACTTTTTAGCAGAGGTCTCTTCCCCAACCCTGCGGCCTGGGTGGAGCGACCCCCCCGCGACCCGCAGGACCCGTGCACCAGGCACTTTCAGTGGCCTCAGGACGGCCCCCTTTTCATTCCGGAGGGGGCCCATGTGTTCACGGACGGGTCGGGTTTTGAAGGGGAGCTCACAGGACTCGGGACCGCGGGGTGGGCTGTTGTGGTGCTGGACAGGCTCGGGAGGACCCTCGCAGCCCTTTTTGGCGTAGTGCCGTTCGGGGAAGCGCCTGGACAACTAGCACGGGATGGCGAGGATTTTGCAGTTCTGATGCTCTCCCGCCGCTCGGTCCTCGCCTCAGGGGTCTCGCTTCATGTGGACTGTGCGGCCACGGTCGGCTGCCTCCGAAACCTCTCGGGGGCTGCTGGAGCGGCCTCGGCCCGAGCCCACTGGTGGGCGGAGATTGGGGACCGTTTAGAAGGCGTAGCGGTGCATCAGATCCCGTCTCACTCGTCAATGTTGGATGTCAGGGACGGCCGTATCACGGAGATGCAGCGTTTCGGGAACTCGGAGGCGGACAGACTCGCCAAGGAAGGAGCTGAACCATTCCGAGTTGCGCGCGAGGACCGCCTGTTTGTGTCAGGATATGCTGAGTTCGTCCGACGAGTTGGGCTGTACAGTGCCAGGCAGCAGGTAGAATGCAGAGACTTAGCCCTGAACGACCATCAAGGGCTGGAATGGCTCAGCTACGTCCTCCTGGACGCGGTCCCTGGCCTCCCCCTTCCTGGTTCGGACCCTGGGGAGGGTGAGCCAAGTGCGGAGTGCGAGGTGCCTCTGGGTGCGCCAGGTGCGGGGGAGGTCCCTGGCGTCACCCCTGGTGCGAACTCTGGTGAGCCGCCTCCTGAGAACCCCCCGACCCCAGGAGCTTGGCTCCAGCTGGGACACTCCCTTGAACAGGGCGTGGTTTATGAGTCGGATGGCTGCACGTATCACGATACTATGCTGTGCTGCACGGCGTGTGGTGCTATGGCACATTCCAGCACGAAACGGGGGAATCTTCGGTTGAGGTGTCGTCCTGTCGCGTCGTGGGGACGGGGGTTCTACCTTGACCGATTTCGTGCTGGACGGTATCCTGCCCATCGGAATCCTCGAGGGCTCACGATGGCGTACACGGGGGCCCCCTCTCCTGAGGTTCGCTCGGAGTGGAGGCCCTACTTCGAGGCCTGGTCCCTGGGCCGCGACCGCCCGCCGAGAGTTGCTCGGGGGGCCCAGCCCTCGCGCGGCGGGGGTCCCGCCGCAGACCGTGTGCGAGGACTCGCACTGCTCGGCCTGTCGAGGGCGGAAGTCGTGGAGCTAGGGGCCGAGGTCGAGGCCAGGCGCTGCAGAGGTGAACTCCCCGTGGAGGAGGAGGACCTCTTCGGCTGCCTTGGCCCCTCCTAACTCGTTTGTTTTTGTTGCATGTGAATTGGGTCACTCCCTTCGTGGTCGTGGGCGTCCTCCTCCTCCTCCTCCTCCTCCTCCTCCTCCTCCTCCTCCTCCTCCTCCTCCTCCTCCTCCTCCCTCCTCCTCCTCCTCCTCCTCCTCCTCCTCCCCCTCCCCCTCGTCCTCCTCCTCCTCCTCCTCCTCCTCCTCCTCCTCCTCCTCCTCCTCCTCCTCGTCTTCCCTGCTGCCCCCCCCCCTCGACCCGCTCCCTACCAGGCATCCGACGCAGTGGTCTGTGTCACGACGGCGCCCCCCAGAGGTCTGGACCTCTTCCCGGGGACGGGGCTCTCTGTCCTCCCGAGTCGGCTTGCTGAAGGGGTCCTCCTCCTCCTCCTCCTCCTCCTCCTCCTCTCCTCCTCCCTCCTCCTCCTCCCTCTGCACCTCCTCCTCCTCCTCCTCCTCCTCCTCCTCCTCCTCCCTCTGCACCTCCTCCTCCTCCTCCTCCTCCTCCTCCTCCTCCTCCTCGATCTTCTGGGGGAGCGACGATGCATCGTGTCTGCGTGCTTCTGTCCACTCCCCCCAGTTTGGAGACTTGGGCAGTTCTCCGAGGGTGCCTCGGGCGACCGGGGCCTCCGGGGTCCCAGAGCCGTGCGGCGACAGACCGCGGGCTCCGCCATCGCACCGCTTTTGCCCCGGAGACTCCTTCGTGTCGCGAGGATGTCTGCTCGAAACCCGGTTTGTCGGAACGGAGCCTCGGTCGGGGCCGGTCGCAACCGATTTGTCGCAACCGATTTGTCGGAACCGATTTGTCGGAACGGATTCGTCGGAACGGACTTGTCGGAGAATCGGTCGCAACCGATTCGACGCAACGGGACATCGGTCGGGACCGGTCGGTATCGGTTGCGATCGGTGGCGGATCCGCGTTGGGCGCCAGAAGCAAAAACGGGGTCGACTGCGCGGACATGCGGGCGTAAGGTTCACGCACAAGATAGCACGTAAGCGCCCGCGTGCCCACTGTGTGTGTTGTGTGTGTTGTGTGTGTGTTGTGTTGTGTTGTGTTGTGTTGTGTTGTGTTGTGTTGTGTTGTGTTGTGTTGTGTTGTGTTGTGTTGTGTTGTGTTTTGTGTGTGTGTGTGTGTGACTGTGTGTGTCTGTGTGTGTGCGTGCGTGTGTGTGTGTGCGTGTGCGTGTGCGTGTGCGTGTGCGTGTGTGTGTGCGTGTGTGTGTGTGTGCTGTGTGTGTGTGCTGTGTGTGTGTCTGTGTGTGTGCTCTGTGTGTGTGTGCTGTGTGTGTGCTGTGTGTGTGCTGTGTGTGTCTGTGTGTCTGTGTGTCTGTGTGTCTGTGCTGTGTGTGTTGTGTGTGTTGTGTGTTGTGTGTTGTGTGTTGTGTGTTGTGTGTTGTGTGTTGTGTGTTGTGTGTTGTGTGTTGTGTGTTGTGTGTTGTGTGTTGTGTGTTGTGTGTTGTTGTGTTGTTGTGTTGTTGTGTTGTTGTGTTGTTGTGTTGTTGTGTTGTTGTGTTGTTGTGTTGTTGTGTTGTTGTGTTGTTGTGTTGTTGTGTTGTTGTGTTGTTGTGTGTGTTGTGTGTGTGCGTCGTGTGCGTCGTGTGCGTCGTGTGCGTCGTGTGCGTCGTGTGCGTCGTGTGCGTCGTGTGC